TATGTAATTAATTTAATTTAATATTTGTATTATCTTAGCTTTTGTTTTATTTTTTATTTTTTTATTTTTTTTTATTTTATTTTACGGGGAAAAACTTGTCCATAACTATTTGTCACGCTAACACATCAGTCACTCTTCCAATCTTATCACTATACTCTCGTTATCGCACACACACATACATCGACATGCTTACATACACTATATATATATATATATATACTATATATATATATATTTACACGCATAATTAGATGTATAATTACATACACACACACTTACCCACCCAAATTTACAAATACACAATCATTTACTAACCAAACTAACACTGCATAAACAGCTTTTGTTTTTTTTTTATTCTTTTATGTTCCTTCGTAAAACCTTAATATATAGATAGGTTAGTTACTACAATTGGCAATGTACTAGTACATATTTCAAAATAACAAGTATCTTCCAAGGGGTGGAGTCCTGGTGACCTGAAATACAGATCATACGTCTAGTTTAGGCACCAGTCTCCCACAGTATAATTTATTGTTTTATGTATTTTATTTTGGATATTATGCCAATGTATTTTGTATATTGTGGTGAGAAATAAACTTATTATTATTATTACTTTTATTACACACAGATGCTAGGCTCTATAGGGTCTGTTTTAGGGTCTTATTCTACTTGAAGTAAACTGGATGTTCGACCCCTCCTACGTAAAGTATCGCATGTCGAAATTGTCAAGTTTACAGGGGAGCGTTTTAAAGTTTGGAATTCACTGAAATGCGTATCGATTTAAAAAATATATATGTCTTCCGTAGCAGGTTTTCTAAACATTCTTGTTGAATTCTATTATCAAGTAGGTATTGAATGTCAAGTATGTGCTGTCAGCGACTCAAGCACTTCAGCCAAAAACCAACACCATACATATAAACATGGATCAATAACCCAAGAGGACCGCTAATCTCCTCAGTACAAATCGATAGTCTGAAAAAGGTCAAAATCCCGTCTTATACCTGGATTGCGCTGATCAGTAGCCTGGATGTAGTTTTTATTATGTAAATGGCCGTGGATATCAATCAATTCATCTTTCATATAATAATAATAATAACGCCCACACTCAACATAGCCCCGCACTAGGGAAACCCTCAGTTGCGGCTGCCATGGACACACACATCGATACCTGAAGTATCAATTAACGTAAGGGACATTTTATCGAAAATGGGTTACATATATCATTGGATTCGGAAGTTCCCGCCTCATCGATTGGAATTATTAAAATTTAAGAATTATTAAAACCCAGTGGTTAAAAATATAGCATATCCTTTACATTAAAAAAGATGTTTAGCATTGTAAGTAACGTAAGGCACAACATCTTTTTGTACTGTAAGGGATATGCTATATTTTAAACCACTTCATTTTTAAATCTTTCGTTTATAGCATGAAAGAAGAGGAAATTCTAAGGAATTTTGCTCTAGACACAATCAAAATTGGAGCAGACAGTAAAAAGATTAGATTAAATCGTTTTTGGCTCTCCTGAAAAACCGTGGATAGTCCCTTACATTATTAGATACTGATCTGGCATCGACATAGACAACCACAAATTATACCCAAACTCAAGAGATAAATAAATGTAGGTCATACAAATATTTCTCCGGGCCCGAGAATCGAAACTGGGAGTCCGGCATGGTAACCATACGGCCACCGAGGCAGTGTATATATGTATAAGTAAATATAAAATAGGCGCTTTGTTGTCGAGTTGCGGATACCAGCCCATTGCACCAAGTACCAAGTAAATATAATTAGTCAGTTTTTTCCTTGTATTCAAATATTGAATGTGACATTGTGTGTTACAAAATAATTTCTAAATTAACGCTTCCTAATATGAGTAGATGGTGCTGATCCTTAACAAAATAAATACCAGCATTGTCCATAAAAATCTAAGCAATAAGCGCCATCTAGTTGATTTGTTTGTTATCACTAGAAATTAGAGTAGCTTTATTAAATTGCAGCCTGTCAATGTAAAACAAATTAGTTATAAAAATAGCTATTTGGTACTCGTCGCGACATCTGGCGTACCAATAGGTACTAAATACATACATGACATATATCGACATTATAAAAAACATGGAGCAACAAACTTTGTTTATTTTTTTACTTATATCCTTAACACTTTCACAGTCCATGAACTGGAGTTGCAAATTGGCTTTTCAATCATAAGTTCACGCATACCTATGGAATTGCAATGATATATACTACTTCAATGTAAAAGATTTTGATTGGACTTGTAGATCAAAGTAATGGTTTTTTTTTAAACTTGTGAATTGGGCAGTCTTTCATAGGTGTAATTTTTTTTAAATAAGAAATATAGGATATGAAACTATTTTTCCAGATTGAAATCGTGTATATTTGTTTTTTCAAAAAAACCAAATTTTCGGGCCCTTTACAGGTCCCAAGGTCACGGTCAACCGTAGTTTCATTTCCAGTGTAACAATTGCGAAAACCTAAGAACTCAATAAGAAAATAATTTGGATTTATATCTAATGCCAAAGTAAAGACAATACCAACAGTATTTCACACAATTCTGATGGAATTACTGGGTTGATTTCGGCCCTTTTCAAGGTGGACTTTGAATGTGTTAAGTCTGCCAACTGCACATATGTTAAACCAAGTAGGGGCTACAGGCCAGAAGAATCCATTGCCGCACTTAAATTGTAAACGTAAATAATATAATGTTTATGTTATCATACCCACCTAAAACTTTCTTCACTCTATGGGGTATTTCATTCCTATATAAGTATTCTTCGTTCAAGGCCACTGCAAAATTAATCACCAGTATGGCAAATAGGAACAGGGCTTCCCAGAGTAAGTATGCATGGGCTTGCACTGACTCGCCAATCAAGTATGTCAATATTAGGCATATTATGTATGTGAATGTGATTGTATAGGCCACTCCCGACAGTAGTACTTTTTCTGATGAAAACGATATTATGTTCCTTATAAGCTCGCATCTGAAAATACAAAAAAAATCAAAGATACCAGTAAATACAGTTCAACATATAATCTTATTGCTAGGGTCAGCAGACTAAAGCACATAAGTCAAAAAAGTGCATCATTTGTTAATATATAGTTACTATATATTTTTTTTTGTGTTGTTTATAGTGTTGGAAGATGTGAAGAGAATGATAAATTTGAAAAAGACCTTTAGAATAAAATTACAAATTTATGAAGTAACAAATGAATTTGACTTGTGCTTTAAATTAATGCATATACATTATATATATATATGCATATGCATATATATATATACATTATATATATATGCATATGCTGGTATATGCATTAATTTAAATGAATGATTGATTCTGTTTTTATTGATTTAAAAGTTCAGATTGTCGGTTTCGTTACGAAAGATAAATTGGAGCAAATGCTGCACCGGTTTTAATTCTTCATGCACCTATTTCTGTATTGTGATAAAATTATAGTAACATTTTCTAATGAATGCAAACAATGTTTCACTTTTACTGCAAGCAGTCCATGAAGTTCAAAACAAAATTAAATGTATTAGAGATATAATGAAAGGTACTTTTTGTTGATAATTTCCTTATACCTGCTCAATTTCTTCTGTGTATTCACATCTACTAAAGCGCGAATATCATCACGTAACTTTATTAACGAGTTTCTAGTAGAATAACCCAATTGTTGGCGGTTATTGTCACCCATATTATTAGGCCTTCACATAATTGTGACTTTACAACTGTTTCTATATGTATATCACGTGAACTTATGTTAAAAATCTTATAAATTAATACTTTATTCACAAAATACTTGCAATCTGACGATCGATACGTTCCAAAGTAAGCATACGATTATTTTGTGACGGAATTTATTTTAATGACCAAACCTCACAAATAGTGATTATTAATGAATTATAAACTTAAATCAGTCAAACATTTTCGATTATGAAGCCAAATATTGTTTTTTTTTTTCTTGTTTTTTATGTTTTTGTTTATGAAATTCTCAAATATTTCTAAGAATTTTGAGCGCTTCGTCAGCTGTCAGATTGCACTGCATTTTATTGTTTAAATAAGAACAAAATGTAGTGCTGTAAACAATGTTATCACACTAGCACTTTTCTTACAAGCTCGCTTTTCATTTAGGCTTGATTTTACATAATAAGCTGGTGGTGTAAGATTCGTTTGGAGGCTAGATACTGCCCCCAAATTACCCTAGAATTGAGTGCTTGCCGCTATGTTCATTGCAACAGTGTTGCCCTTTTTCTAAAACACTCTTGCAGGAATTATGCAAACACCTGTCACAATACACATTGTAACACAATTAAAAAAGGGCTTTTTATTGACATTGCAATAAGCATTTTTATATTTTGAATGAAATTCATAAATGATTGAAGAAATTATTATTTATAATAATTGGGGTATTTCGATTTTTTTTCTTCTTGTTACAGTACCGTTATTTACTGCATGTGCTACTAGGCAAATGTCCCCCTGTTTTATATTATATTATAAATAAAATATTATCCAATTTTTTTTTCCTAGCCTTCCGCATTTTCTCTTATCGTTTTCCGATTATTCACAATACATCGCTCCTTATGAATTCTACTTACTAAGCTGGCTAGCCAGCAGCACTTCAGCACTGATTCACAACATCGTCAAATCCGATTTTAAGCCGACTCCACTCCATGGCAGATGTTGCGCTTGGTCTTTTGAGTAGGCAGGCTTAGGCGCCATATGTCATGATGTGTGAGACACACGTGTCGAAGAGATTTTGAATAAACCCTGTCGTTTTTTATTTGATCGTTCATGGTCTAATAATGAGTATTTTGTATTGTTATGCATAACTACTTTATCTGAATATCAAATTTTCAGCTACCAGAAATTTATGATATTTGGTAGAATATATTTTCTCCTCGTTTCTCTGTGTTCTCCTACACTTTGAACCTCTGATGCACATAAAATATTCCAATCAACTTCTTTCAAACCATTCTCTCGTTATATAATACGCTCGTCTTTCAAAAGTTTCATTATGTTAAAAATTTGATAATATCCTTCTAAGTGTTAGCTATGTTCATCTAACGGTAGGTCGACGCCTTTCGGAAATTTTTTTGGTTCAGATATAGTCACGGTTCTTCCGGACCCGCGTTTAATGTTTGGCCGAATGTATCACGTGCAAGTGAATATAATAATATAGAGACGTAGTTTTTAGTTAGTAGATGTGTTTGTTGCCATTTTTGTGGGAGTTTGAACAAGAGTGCCACACTATTAAAAATTGTTCAACCCTTCATTTCTATTTTATTATAAATCTGACGATCGATACGTTCAAAAGTAAGCATACGATTATCTTGTGAAGGAATACTTTTAATGACCAAATCTCACAAGTAGTAATTATTAATGAATTAGAAACTTAAATCAGCCACACATTTTCGATTGTTAAGCCAAACATTGTATTTATTTGTATTTTTATTTCTAAACTAATATTTTTAAGTTTTTGTTTTGAGATGCCAATCCGCGATGCTGGTATGGAAATATCAAAATGTAAGTACTGCATTTAATGAGAATACTGTGATAATGCTTAATGTTTTAAAATCATGCCTACAACCTCTAGTACATCTAAAATAATAATGTGACAACCTTACGTGCGAACAAAATGTAGGCATTCATGCGCCGAATAGGCAGGAAGTGGACTACTTGTCTTAAAACTAATTACAAATTCGATTTTAGTTGCATTGTATACATACATATGCTTAATAAGTTCTAGCCCACTGCAAATTTTCCAATATAATAGTTTTTTATGTAACAATCAGTCGAAGTTAGGTCATAATGTACCTACTTTATGCAAGATTTTGTGACAGAATAAGTGATAGCGGTTCTTGATGGTTCAATAAATAAAGGTATGTAATAAATATATCAGATTTTTTCCTGAAATTAGGGTAATTTTCAACATGTGGTAACTTGTATTTACTTTTTTATTTACCGTGACGTTCTCTTGATTTCGACGACGTGAAGTTGGCGATTAAGGGAAAAATAAAAGTTTTAGTGTAAGTATGTACTCCAAGCCACTTTCGTTAGCGTAATTTATACAAAATCGTCATCTAAATAGTAGTTAGTGCGTTTGGGTACACTTTAGTGTAGTAAAGCTTGCCGGGTAGCTGTAGACACAAGTGCACGCTGAAGGTCTACGTATTCGTTCAATCGCAGTCAGTGTGTGTCACCGTGTCGCGCCATACGCTTGACAAAAAACAAGAATTTATCTCTTCATTAAGTTTGTCGGAACGACGAATATAACATTAAGTCGTAATGGTGTGATAAACAAATGGTAGTTATGGCAAATCATTGTCTAGATATCCACAACAGGACCAAGTGCAGTGGTTCGAGATATCAGTGCATATTATGGATTTGGAGCGCAGTTGTGTGTCTTTGCATCGTATCGAGATGTGTTGCAGCTGGGGACCTCAAGAGTAGTGTATCAATAGACCCTGAAGGTGACAGCTATGTTCGCTTTGGCGATAATTTAACAATATATTGCATCGCCGGCCCTAATTACAATCGCAGTCATCTCAAAATCACCCACAGTGGCAAAGAACTGTCGACGATTCCTGTGAACGACACTACTATTATGTACACTGAGACACCCAAGGAGCATGTCAGAAATAAAATATACTACTGCAAGAACAAGGAAACCAACCAGAATGTGGTGAAAACTGTAATAGTGGCCTCCCCGCCTAAAAATGTTTTAGATTTCAAATGCATCTCATTGAATTTTGAGGTGTTGAACTGCTCGTGGACATCTCCTGATTTCATTATATTCACTAAATACAAGTTGACGCAAGTAATTAGAAACAATGCAAAATTACTACCATGTATACCGACACAGCTTGAGAAAACACTTTTACGGTATTGTTACTGGAACACAACTAGTCATCCTCGATACAGGCAGCAAGATGAAAAATTGGATTTTATTCTAGAAGCTCACAATGAGTTTGGAAACAACACACAAAACTTTACCATTAACCATTATTCTATTGTGAAACCAGATCCCCCTATGAACTTGACCAATCTCACTGTGACCCCTCATAGAGTGCTCCTCAGGTGGCAGTTACCTATAAACATTAATGATTTTTTGCACGAAGGGGTGGACCATAAGATAGAATATCAAATTGCAAAGATTGATGACAAAAAGTACTTCAGGGTTGTAAACACAAGTGGTTTGTTGCCAAAAGTAAGCAATAGTAAGTATGTTTACATGTTCAACTTGACCCTCCCATATGCTCACATGCTTTATGGAGTAAGAGTGTACATCAAACCGAAAGCTGCTAAAAGTGATGAGTTCTGGTCTGAGTTTAGTAGTGTTGTTTTCTATACAAGTAGTGAGCGACCTAGGAGACCACCGGAAATGATTGCTGGGGCCTTTGACCAAAACCAATTTCAGGGTCGAAGACTGCTCTTTGTATACTGGAAACAATTGGAAGAATATGAAGAAGCTGGTGCTAACTTTACATATAAGATAATTGTGTATCGGGAGACATCTGCACCAAGAACATACTGGCCTGATAAAAATAAAAGCTTGGGCTATTTAAATCTGCAGGATGAATCTATGGAGGCCTTACATGTAGAAGTTCAGTCATACAATGAACAGGGGTCATCTGAAAACAGCAGCTATTTGTACATCCCACCTGAAAAAGAGACGCGTTCTTTACGCCTTACTTTATTTACCAAACTTGCATATGAAAATGGAACTTATGAATTATCATGGGCTGGGATTCGCAACATTGATAACTATACTTTATTTTGGTGTCACCATAATACTACAAACATTTGCAGTGGGCGCATAAACTTCACAGTTCTCAATCCCGATATTAATAAACACATAATTAACTTGCCTAGGGATTACAGATATCAGTTTGCAATATCTGCAAATAAAGGAAGTGGTACTAGCGGAATGGTGTGGGCGAAATGTGATATATCAAAGGATGGCATTGCAATGTTCGAAATACCAATACGTTTCATTGATCATGATGCCCCAGGAACAACTTCTGTGAAGCTAAAATGGTCTATGGACTGTACTCTCAAAGAAGGTATTATAAATGGATATAATATAACCTATTGTCCAGTAATAGGGACAAGTGTTCATTGTGATAACACATTTGGCTCTTTGGCTCCATATATTATCAATAATCCGAAACAGATGGAAGTGACAGTAACTGGATTAAGACCATACACAACATACCAGTTCACAATGGCTTTAAATACTATTTATGGATTAAAAATCATAGAAAATACAACAGTGCGTATTACAACTTTAGAGTATGCTCCAACAAAGCCGATGAATGTGAAAATAACAAAAGTCAATATTACTAGTTTAGATATTTCATGGGACCCACCACAACACTTAAATGGCCACATAAGTAAAATTAAGTATGTTATCTATAACTATGGCACAAAAATACAGGAAATTAAATATGAAGATAACAAGGAAGATAAATATTCTGCAAGATCTCGAAGGCACGTGGTATTAGACAAATTACACCCTTTCACCAATTATTCCTTCAGTTTAAAAGCTTGTAATGAAGGAATTGATGCCTGCTCAGAACCAACTGATCCTGTCTTTGTGAGAACCAAAATTGGACCTCCTAGCAAATTAAAGATTCTTCAATATGACGACAATCGCCTGTCATGGGCACCACCAGAGTTTCCTGGAGGGACTGTAGATCTTTACCAGGTCAGAATTCTGAAAGACGCTGTTTACGAGACCATATTGAATATTTCTGAAACCAATATTAAAGTGAAGTTTTGTGAGGGAGGACTTCAAAATGAGACCTATCAGGTCAGAGCAGTAAATTTTGATGAAGCTCAGTACCATGGTGCTTTAACTGATTCATCACAAGTTATTCTTGATGAGGTTAATGAAGTCAAAGTGTTGGCGCATTTTGGAGATTGGAGTAACGAGAGTGTAGTCTATTGTACTGGTAGAGACAACTTATTCCTGCTGTTCATCATCATGGGCATTATTGCATTTGTTGGAATGTGTTGTGCTATATTAAAAACGTACAAGAAAATCAAGAAAATGGGAGATATTAAACCAGAATTCCCGAAAGGTCTTTTTGTGCCTGAAAAAGATATGACTAAATACCCATTCACTGGTTTATATCCATCAGAAAAAGATGAAAAACCAATGTCAGATGCCATTTTGTTATTACCGAATACTAAAAGTACAGTTTCTTCACCTGAAATTAAGAACACTGATAATAATTGTGGCTCTAGTGACCACACCGATAGTACTGTTTTATCAGATGCCTCTCATGGACCAATTGAACGCCAGAGCTCAACTTCCGATGACGGATCGCAATCCTCTTTGCGGTTAGTGGTGGAACCACGCAAAGATGATGACACTAATATTGCGGATCAAGAGGAAGCAACCTCGTCAAATTCTGATTCTAGTAGCTCTAGCAACAATTCACCTTACTTCGGAGACAACTCATTTAAGAAAAATATGGTAACGGGATATGTTCAGCCTGTAGTCAGTCCTGGGACGGGTTATGTCCAGACTGTGCCCACGCCGCTTAAAGCCGTTCCACAAAAACCAGTAGTTCAACCTACTACATCAAGCTATGTAATGGCGGGGCTTCCGCCACCCATATTCTCTGTCGACGGTGGAACGACCCAGTCTCAGCCTCCGTCGGGGTACGTGCGCGCCGAAGACATACAAGCGCGATCAGCTCTACAATTTCCTAAATTGGGTCCATCAGTTTTTGGGTCGGAGAGCTTGCCGACAATGCCTTTCTTGCCAACGCCAACAAAACCAGGCGCAGACAGCAGCTACATTCAGCTGCAATCTCTCGATTCCTTGCCTAGTCATAAGCCGAATGTGAGAAACACAGTGCCATTGAAACCGCCTGCTTCTAGTGGTTACGTGAGTCCCGGAGACGCGGTTATAAACAAGCACCTCAATAACATAATATCGGGCACTCAGCCTGACGAGTCGGCGATCTTGGACCCCACTATGTCCCCAGATGCATACTGTCGCTTCTCGTGGAGTACCGACCCTGCCAACGATAATTTACATTCGATACTAGCGAGTTCACCCACCACGAATCCCTCCAAAAACTGAACTAAACGATAGCGTAAGATAGTACACGGTACTGATATAAATAGAGTAAATAGTGACGGAACTGTAAATCAATATAATTAACTAAATGTGTTTTAAAATTGGACTTATTTTCACTCAAGAATGTGGATGTGTTGTCTAGTGATAATTGTCGTGCCTTATTAATTTATTTATTTAGGCGATCTTAGGAAAACTTTTAGGTAAGATTTTATTTATTGAATTCCTAAACTTCTTAATGAGTAACTAGTCAAATAAATCACAATTTGTGATATTGTTTCAGTAATTGTAATCTGACCTTGTTAGCAATGGAGGGGATTTATAAAGTAAATTTGATACCAAGTGATTTGAATACGGAAGAAACTATTCTCCAAATTGCTGATACGTTAGACAATCTCAGTGGGATTGTTGATGATGTTTTTGCTCAATTAATGAGCCGAATTAACCAGAACATGGAAAAAACAACGAAGCTGAATGAAAGGATAGAAATTTCAAGGAATAAAGTGGAAAAGCTCACGGGAATGCAAAAAGCTATTAAAGTATTCTCAAGTGCGAAATATCCTGCTTCAATTGCGCATGAACACTATGAATCCGTTTTTGGCTTAGACGGATACCACCATGAGCCTCAGAAAGTAGTCCTGAGTGGAAAGACTCAAGGACAGGCGCATGAGAAGGGAATACAGGTATATTGCTGCTGTATTTGTCCATTACGTTAGTCGTGAAGTATTGCGTTGTTCATTTAAATGTAATTAGTAATTCTGATTGTAGGAAAAACTACATTTCTATCATGTCAAAGTGGCCCAACGGAGGAACCCTAAACCTAAGCCAGATTTCGATTTGAACTCTGTAATCGACGACTTGTCGACTGTGGGCGAGTTATTAGTTTTCAACACAGATGAAAGCCCGTATCTGGGCACCACCAGCAAGGTGCCGACGTATGCGCCGAAAGTTGCCGCTGTCCAAAACAAAAGCCTCTTGGAAGATGCCCCGTCCTCAATTATGAAGAGAGACGTTTTGAAGCGCGAAGTCGATGAATATTTATATGCGCCCGGGATGGGAATGGTAAGTTATCATTTGTCTATCCTTTTCCATTCCGTTTTTTACAGAAATCTATCGGGCTAGGACAACAGGGCGCGACTTGCGCGAGAGTGACATAAAGCGCGAGATACCGCTATTCTCGCATAGAGATCCTGCGCTTTAATGCCCATAAATGTACACACATCAAAAAAAGTTTGCGATCAATAGCATAATCTCCTATAATTCTTTAAATTTAACTTTATCAAGAAAAAATCTATGTTGTATGCTTTCTTTAAATAGGAATACCCTGTTTGAAATTAAAATATAAAACTATTTTTTATTATTTATTTAAAAAAATTGAGCCATTAATCATAATGTAATAGTGATAGAAATTTCATAGAAAGAAAAAGACTGTTTAATTAAACTTAAACAACAATTTATTATTAAAAGGTGTGAATTCAATATAAAATAACTCCTCCCCTGGCTCGAATACATGCGAAGATCCTCCTGGGCATGCTGAGGATCAATTTCCTGGGGTAACCTATCCCATTCTTCAATAGCGGCTTCCCTGAGCTCTGGAACTGTCTGGGGATGTGGCTCACGGTTCCATACTGCTCGTTTAAGAGCATCCCACGCGTGCTCTATTGGGTTTAAGTCGGGCGAGCCGGCAGGCCAGTCTAATCGTGTGATATCGTATTCTTGAAGAGCTGCATTGACTCGTTGAGCTCGATGTGCGGGCGCATTATCATCGACCAGTACAAATTGGTGCCCATGGTTTACTCGGAATGGTCTGACGATATCATCAATAGCAACTGTTTTGTACATGTCTGCTGTCATGAAGCCCCGATACTGGATCAAAGGCGTTCTAGCTCCAATCATAATGCCACCCCAAAAGGACACCGATTTTCCGCCTTGCTGAACTGTTCCAGTGGCAGTTCTTTGTCTTTCATGGTCGCCTGGTCTTCTCCAGACACGGACACGTCGGTTATCTGGATGAGTGCTGATTCGGGATTCGTCAACGAAGAGACAGTTTTGCCAAATGTTTTCGTCCTCACCTTCTTCATTTTGCCGAAGTCTAGCCCACTGCAATCTTCGTTGTTGACGTTGCCGGGAATTGAGCGAAGCTCGCCAAGACCTCCGTGCTCGTAATCCAGCCTGGTGCAAGCAATTGCGAACGGTCTGCGTGCTAACTTCAAGCCCAGAGGCGGCCCTGACTTCTGCTTTTATTTTAGTGGCGTTGATTGTTGGATCACGGGCTGCCAGCAATCTAATATAGTGCTTTTGGGCAGCTGTCAAAACAGTTGGGCGACCGCTGCGGGGTCGGTCAGCTAAATTCCCCATTCCGTGATACCTCTGCAACGTAGCCACGACACAGGATTGGGATATAGCAAGTCTGCGTGCTATTACTCTCGTGGTGTATCCTTCTTCCCTCAAAGTTACTATTCTAGCTCGTAAAACCTCTGATAATCCTCTTGGCATTTTTTCAATCACAATTTCCGCGAAAAATATCTTGAATCGCTTATAATTGACTAAATCAGATTTCTGAATGAGCGTAAGCTAGGACTGAAAGCCTTTTTATATGAAAAAACAATTGAACGGGGTCATTGTTTTATGTTCTAATTTATTTTTAAATAAAGAATCTAAAAAGAAGAAAAAATCATAACATAATCTACAGTAACAAAAAAGATTTCAGTTTTTCGAAGTGATCGCAAACTTTTTTTGATGTGTGTATCTCCTATCCTAGATAAAAATCAATCTTGGATTGCTGCGTATCGCGCGATCGATCTCCAATCCACGTGCCACTATTTAAACTCTGCATTACTCTGCAAACAATTTTCTTTTGGACGGCAGATTGGCAGCGATCCTTGATCCTCTTGAGCATTTTCGTTTTATGTGAATTGTTTGTTTTTACAACGCGGTTATTTTGTTTCTTATAAACAACTAATTAGCCCAAGAAATACATAGAATATAAATAAGTAATTTTAAAATAATGTTATGTCTAAAAACGAAAGCTTGCTTACCCTACTGACTGACATCGTTTTGTTGTTAGGTGCCAGAACTTGAAATGCCTCTAGATCTACCACATTTGCCGGGAATAGCAGGCGATGTACAGTTCTCGATCACCAGTGATGGATCCATCGCACCTTCAGTGGTCACGTCCCCCGTAGCCGCGATGATGTTAGCCGAGCCTGCGTTGGCGGAAGTGGAACTACCTGATCTCGAAGAGTTGCCAGATGTGGAGTTGGAAGCTCCTTTGTCTGATGCCCCCGATGCTCCGCCGCCGCCTGTGATGGCAAGCCCGCCGATGAGCGCGCCTCCTCCACCTCCCCCTCCACCGCCGCCACCTCCACCACCTATAGAAGCCGAACCTCCTGCTGATGTTAAAAGGTCAGTCTAGTATGTAAATTTATGTAGTATAAAATAATGTACCTTTTTGTTGACTTACTTAAGACGAATATGAATTTCGACCAGCCTCTTAAACTTCAAGATAATGGAAATGTCGAAATTAAATTCTAATTGAGACTGCAATGAATGTCTATCGACGTCGGCATGCCAGATCGATATTTCATTGTAGTCTGACAATTTTAAGACAAGTTAATTTGGTCTTTTCGACATGACAAAAGAAGCGGATTTTTGTGCGTCTACAAAAAATAGAAAGTCTTGATTTCGCGTAGTGAGCTTTTAGCCATGTGTTTGCATTTTTTTTTGCTATTGACTCTTAAATGTTCGGTCACATTTCTACCTGATTTTTTTGTGCGTAATCCTTCTCCACATATGTTGAACTCGTGTAGGATTTGCTTTACACTTCATAAATACGATTTTTTTTTAACTATGACGTGGTATGCACTGTTAACGCTGTAGGTCGCGAGTTCGATTTTCGGTAGGAATTTGAGGAAGTTTAAAAATAAGGTATTTATTTTGTATTTGTAGTGAAAAATATGGCAGTTTGGATTAACATTAAACGTAACTGGTGGCTGGCTTTGTTGGCTTTACTATCTCAGTCAACCGTGGCCATGAGATCTGTAAAGGGCCCGATACGTCGGGTTTGTTTAAAAAAAGCAAATGTACGCTATTTAGATTCGAAAAAAAATGGATTCATTTCCTATAAAAGGAAAATTTTCTTTACTCCTGCTTTATGTAACTGATTGTTTATTACAAAGGCTTAGTAAACAAGCAAGCAAGAAAACGGTTCACACAATAAACTAGTTTTTATAGTCTGTAGTAGAGACTATGAAATACGCTGTTTGCATAGGAAATATACCGCAGCACTTTCAAAGAGAGTTGTTGACCACAAGAGATTTCAAGAAAACGTAATTTGAATTCAACGTAAGCTGTAACTTGGGATAAGACTTCGGAGTCTTTGAATCGTATTTTGTTTTTAAATAGTGTATTATGAAGCGTTGAACCTCATTCAATGTCGTTTAATTTTCAACTATCCAACAGAATTTAATAAAACTTACAAAATAGTTGGTCCAAAAGTGTATTTACACGTTGCAAGAATTTTTCGAGACAGTAAATAATGTTAATAAATAAGATGGTAGATAATATTATAATAACTGTTATAATAGTTGTTAGTTGAATCCATATCATTTTAATTTTGATACTCAGTTAATTTATATTATTAATACTTTAAATAACTATTTAAAATTACTTTTTTACCTTATAATTTTTAACTCTAATTTGATATTGCATTTCATGTCATTTTTTTTATTATTATTTTAGTTTAATAAGAATGAAATTGATTTTCTATCAAACGCATTGCGGTGCCCTGTGATGGCTGTACTTAACATTATTTTATGAACTTTCATATTGCCCTTGTGATACAATGAATATCAACTGAAGTTTCGTATATTATTTAGTAGTAAATAAACCAACGTTTCGGGTCTTTTACATGTCCCATGGTCACAGCTAACTCTCTGAAGAATCAGTTTCATTACCTATGTGTAACAATTAAAAATAGTTGTTTATTCTCTAATCGTGCTTCCTTTAACCACAGTAACACAAGTGACAATAGTGAAAATCCAAGATTTCAAAATTGGTAGTTTCAACTGTATAATTTTGGTTATGATATCATGTGACAGAACGAACAAGTTGTGACTGGTGTTACGCCACATGCCTCCCCCGTGCTCTTGACTGTAACCTCGGTAGTGGTTCTATTTAAATTTGAAGAAAATATTCCACCTTTAAGGGTGGCAAATTAGGGGATGAACTCGGTTTCGCGCACTTTCCGGTAACCGATATCAATCGATTTTTTTAGTACTCTGTACTGAGATTATACACCTGACAATATTTTAAAAGTTCCAGAAGTTGTTATTGCATGTCAAACAAAGTTGGAATAGAATTTAATTGAACCGAATTACACAACGGTTTTGGTACTAGAGATGAAACGGATATCCGGTAACTATCCGGTACAGTAGACCAGTATCCGGCCGGATGTTTAAAACCGAGAAAAATTAATAATTAATACGCCAAATAAATTGATTTATTGATTAAATGTGATAGTAACAGGATAAAAAGAAACTACGGGATCGTTGACAATCTGTTTATTACTTGTAACTGAATGAACTATGAAATTAGATAACACTATCTATATATTTAGTACTCCAATTTCAATACAGACAAGTTATGGTGGATGAAGACCAGTTTTTTCTGCATTATGTGGTAAAAGTTGCTATTTATTTTCATAAACATGACCAGCTTCAGAAGACACTTTTTCACAATAAACTCTTGCAAACTTTGTTAAATTTTAAGTACTATTTGTATTGACAGAAGACCAAATGAAAGGATCGCGATCACTATCGTTTTGAACTGTTTTCAAATACAATATGTACCCACAATAATGAAACGGTAAGTAGATTAATTTTTTTGGTAAATCTAATATCAAGGCTTGGAATTAGTTAGATAACAAACAAACTATCATATCAACTGCTAGGCTTATACTTATAACAACTAGACATTTTAACATAGCCAAAGAATGATGTAATTGTTTTTTGTCCTTCACCACGACGAGAAATTTGCATTCGGCACGACAAACAAACCGTACTGATATTAAAATATTGCCAAATTTGCTATGAATTTCACTGTTTACATTTTTCTATTATGTATTAGTTTGCATTGTTGAATAAATTAAACGTTTTTGTAAAAACCAACCACAACAAATCAAATCGTCAATGTGAAAGTGCAATCATTCACTAATCAATCAATCGTGGCAACGCGCGCTGTAAACCGGTCGCGACGTGTTTTTGGTAGTGGGTAAGATATCCGGCTATCCAGCTTCGGTGCTCGCCGGATATCCGATATCCGGCCAAATCACAATCACGACAGATAGTTGCGATATGGGAACAGGCTAGACGCGATAGTCGTCCAACAATAAATAAAACGTTACGACATTATGGGAACGCGCCCTTACTCCATGCAGTTTTGTAGTAAATTAGAGCAATTATTTCAATATCTAGCAAGTCACATTTTCACAACGTAAATAAAGTAATTTACTCATTTACTACTAAGTCGTATTTTAGCAACCTAATTGAAGCAATTCACTAATTTTCTAGCAGGTCACATTTTTCGTTCGTAAATAACCAAGCAACCTGTTTACTCTAGATGACATTGTTATCCACTTTTTTTCTCTTACACGTAACTATTCTATTGTTGTCTCAATTTAAAACAAATGAACCTTCTATTAGTTTATTCACGAGGATTTAAATGGTAGGTATAATCTAGTGACGATCTGACAAGATAACGCAGCGGTTACATTTTACATTAATAATTGCAATACAGAAATAATAACCTGCTAACCTTCTAAGACCCCACAAACTACAATGGGAATAACACACATTACATTTAGTACATTCAAATCTACTAAATATAATAACACGCTTTAGGCCCATCAAGTATCATTATCATCCACTGCTCGACTTCACCCACAGCTGGGTATATGCCTCCCGTAGTTTGTTACATCCACGAGGATCCTGTGATAGTCTCACCCATCTACTGCCCGCAACTTTGACAATGTCTTCCACCCATTTCGCTACAGGACATCTCCCGTTTTCAGTGCCACTCAGAGCTTTAAATCACAAAGGTCTGAGGGGCACTCTCATTGCGCCCGTCACCCTGAGACATAAATTGACAAGTCCCATGTGCCTGTAATTTCACCAGCACCCTTACCCTTCAAAACCGGAACGCAGTAATGCTCACATTACTGCTTGTCGGCAGAAATAGGTAAGGTGGTTGTACTTCCCTGGACGAACTCTTTCACAAGGAGCTCTACTGCTGTTAAATTAATTTTTTTATTGCGCGAGTTGTTAGGTTTATTTATAACAGTAATTTGACTGCCGAACGGTTGCCATGCTGGGCTGCCACGCAGAGGTCCCGAGTTCGATTCCCCGGCCATTAGAAATATTTGTGTGGTCGACATTTATTTCTCTCGTGAGTTTAGGTGTAATTTGTGGTTGTCTACGTGTGTGTCCATGGTTCCCGCGATACAGGGTCTCCCTGGTGCAGGGCTATGAGTGTGTGCGTAAAAAATATGCCATGTTTTTATCATTTTAATGCTAGCACAAAAATGCCGCCCTGTATATCGACTGTGAATTGGCAACCGGTACTATCTCAGCTTTGACAACTTTACAGGTTGAAGAAAAAAATTGTTTGTGTCATTTATATAGCATCTCGTTGTTAAATAAAAATACGTAGTGTACATACATATATGTATGTGTAATATAAATATTTAAAAACTTAAATAATATAAATATTTATAATTTTTTTTTTGTTCACCTGTAAAGTTGTCAAAATGGAGATAGTACCCATTGCCAGTTCACAGTCGATATACGGGTCCGTATAACCAGGGTGGAATCAAAATACTATGGTCACGGTATGTATTTAAAAAATGCAACAAAAACCTCGTCTACTATTGCACCTAATGCGCAGTTTGTAAACTTCAAGTTTCTTCGCATTGTGTTAGTGGAAATGCGCTAAGGAAACAATGCGTACGATCCCTAGAACGGTCTTTACAAAAACATTACTTGTTTACCCTCACGTTGTACTTCTATGGTATCCATTTTCACAAGAATACGTTCAACTAAATTCAAACCTACAAGTGCTTATAGTTTCTCGTGATCGGGTTTCTCTCTGCCAAGATTATTTATCCTGTCCCATACGATCTGAGAGGTACATGACAAGCGTATACGAAATGACATATACGATACGAATGATATATACGAAATGATAGTTGTGTACATATGCCGCCAAATAATTCCTAGAAAACGATTAACATTTTTGTTACATTTCTCTCATATTAATTTGATAACAGAAAGTGAAATATTACTGTTTATTTGACGACCACGATGGCGCAACGGTTTGCAGTTGAGGAGGTCGCGGATACGATTCCCGTT